CTAATTGTTCTAAAAGATATATAATACAAGGAATATTAGTATATTTTCGTACAATTTGTAATGTATCTTGTTCATGATAAATATTTGATTTTTTTTTTAAAAAAGTTAAAACATTTGTTGAATCATATTTACATAACAATTCAATATAATGAAGAACATGAGATTGATCGATTGATATTAATGAATGTGTTGTTTTCATATCATTATAATCAAAACAACTCTTTAAAAACAAAAAAGTATACATTTTTAATCATAATTATTAATTGATTTTTATACTATTTAATCTTACTTTTAATAGTGTATACTGTACTTCTTCATTTTTATTTAATAAATGTAATAATTTTCCAAGATCAATTTGTAAATAGGCACAAAATAATTTACATGCTTTAAATGAATCAGCTAAAATAATTGGTATTAAATATTCAATTAATTTATTATATACTTTATTACGATCTATTTCATTTAATGCTGGCCATAATGATTTAATATAATGAAATATATTTGTAATACGTTTTTGATCATTAATCTGTACTGTTATATAACGTTTTTCACATTAGTAGTTTGTTGTTAATAGTAGAAATAATATTTTTTTCAATAATGGATAAAATGTGTCTTTTATCTTATCTAATTTCATCAACTATAAATTTATTAATAATGTTGTTTCATCAAACGGTTATCGACGATAGTTATTTGATTTTTTTTGAATTTTAATTGGTTTTTCTTCTAAACTAAACGATCTTTGTTGACTAATTATTAATCCAATGAAATGAAGTGAAATAAATACGTATTAGTAAGAGCAACGAGGGCCAAAGACTGAATTGAGATTTTATTGGTGCAATTTATTTTAATTTTCTTTCTATAGAAAAATATGAATCTACACATCATTTGTGAAATGTTGACAATTAATTATACTCGAGCTCGAATGACATTGTTTAAATTCTTTGAAACAAATATGTTCGATCATGTTGTACATAAAATTATTTATTTCATCTAATTAACTGTAATTATCTCTGTACTACAAACTTTTAAAATATTTCAAAATTTTGAAATTATTTGTAAGTAAAATGATGTAAGATTTAATAATATTCTAAAATTTTCTATCAAAATACGTATGTAAACAATTCTTCATTTATTTGTTTGCTTATGTTTATATTAGAAACAAATTCTCTCATAGAAATTATTAACAATAGTTATAGAAATTTATTATTATTTATTTTTTTATTAGGTATTAGAATATTTATGTAAAACATCCAATGATAATTTACATCATGATGATCGTGAACAATCTCTATTAGATGTTATACAAGCAGCTGGTTTACGTTCATTTGATTTAAAACGTTTATTAGAATTATGTCGTTATGCTCATTTTTGGCGTGTTTGTGAAATAATTTATGCTGAAAAAAATGATTATGATTTAATTAT